GTTTCATCTCTACCTCCCGGTGCCTGGTGCGCATGGGTTAGCCAATGAATAAACATGTTAACCACTCCAACTAGCTAACATTAAGACATTTTTTAAATCCTGTAGAAATAGTTAAATCAGTTTTATGAATTAAAAAGACTCCTAAAAATAGTGTAATTCCATAAATTTTTAGATTAAAAAATGAAGACCTAAAGTCGATGTTAAAAAAAAAAAGGCCCCAGAATGTCTTTGCCCAGGTCACGTCAGCATACAGGGGCGGAACTGGAGCCAAACCCCGATTCCCTGCGGTCCAGGCGAGCGTCCCACCAGGCTTGCTCACTGCCCGTCAGAATTGCAATTAATGTTAGAAGTCGTTCTTATGTATGTATTGGCAAAATTTTAATAGGCGTTTGCAACATTGTTAGAAGACTCTTTAAATCAGTTTGATGATAGAGCTATAATCAAGATCATTTGGTATTTTCTGCATGTGTTCAGTGTTACCTACCTAAAGACATTTGAACTCATGTGGGGACTACCTCCACAAAGTCAATTAAATAAATTCACTTTTAGTGAAAGCGGAGATTGTGTGGCTTGGGAGATTAAGTATAGAATTTCCAATTTAATGCTCCGAGTGTGTGTGTGTCTTAAATCTGTGTAACTGGCTTATTCTGAGAACTGAGACCTATTTCATTTCTCAGCGAATGGTGGTCCTGCTACCAACACCCTTTAAAAGTGAGATCATTAGGGGTTTTGTTGTTTGAGACTAAATAACAAATGAAGAAAACACATGTTCAACTGTAACACACTAGGAATATATTTATTTTCTCTGGTGACAACTAAGGCCATCAGCGGTAAGAATGAACTGCTAAGTTCTTTGCATTTCCCCAAGTATAGATTTAATCTACAACACATGCATTTCTTGAAACCATTTCTTTGCTAGTAAGAAGTATTCTCCTAAAATACTCACCCATCAAAAAGATGACACTATTGATTTTTAGAATTCTTATTCCTGTTATGTCAATAAGCAATTCTGGAAAGAGAATCAAAGGCCAAGAGCATCGCCATTGATGTTGAAGTTTGAACTTACAAATGCATTGGGCAAAGGCCATGTGCTCTGGTGAGCTGAGCAGTAAGTCCAAGGAGTAATGACTAGAGAAAAACAATGTGCAGCGCAGCTTGCAGGGAAAAGTACTGGCATAGTCTGTTGAGGGTTACAGGTATGTTTTCTTGAGAGTCTAAGGTCTGGAGTACACAGTTCTGGGCAAAACTCCTACCTGAAGAGCAACAGAAAGTCTCACCAGACCAGGCACGTGTAAAAGTAACTCAGGTAGATTTTTGTTTTTCTTTCTTTCTTTTCTTTTTTTTTTTTTAAAGAAAGCAACAAAAACTCAAAAACGGCAATTCGGTCCTTTGTTCTCTCCATGTTAAAGCAAATAGCGGGTGTTACCTACCTTTTTGCTCATGCATCCAGGGTGCCTTGCAGGGTCAGACGGTCTTCTATATTTGCAACAAAAGTAGCCGCTCAGCATCTGGTGTGAGGTAACTGAATGGGAAGCAGAAGCTGCTGATGTTTTAAATTAGGATGAAGGCTGAAGAATTCAGGACTTTTTCATAGAAAGAAATGTTTTTATCAGTTCTTTTGATGACTGGGATTTTGAGGCACTTCTTAGAGGCTGTGGTTCAGGGCTCTGGTCATTGTGACGTTGGCATGGAAGGTACATTGAACCCCAGCACACTTTTTTGTGTACACTTCGCTTTCTCATTTGTAGAGTGGGAATAGGATGCCTGCCTGCCCCTCGGGGTTGCCCCAACAATCAAATGAGCTAGAAAATAAGCTCTTTTCCAACTACCCATAAGTATGGGTAAGATGCGGTCCTAGGATTTGTTCTCTAAATTGCTGAAATCCCTTTTCACCCTCACAAGAACTCTTTAGAGTTGTTATACCCATTATATAGATGAGGAAACAGAGGCTTAGAGAAAAAAGTTGTCCACGATCACATGCTAGTGAAGGGGGGGATGAGAATCGGGTCTGATTTCAAAAAACATTCTGAAACAATTGAATATGGGGATTTCCACTTTTCCTTAAAACAATTACCTGCCTCTTTCCCTTGCATTCCTGCCAGCCCATTTGAATCATTGTAAGTCCGTTGTTAGGGAAGCAAGCCCTAATTATCACTGGGGGACAGAAGGCTGCATCTTCCAGGAATTTGGCAGACCCCAGCAGGAGGCAACCACAGACCTTTGGCAAAAGATCACTTTTCAACACCATTGTCAATTTCAGCGACCCCCGACCTTCCACCTGCAGGTCTCTGAACAGCTGCTGTGCTGTGGGAAGCAGTGGCAGTCTGTCTTCCTTTAAAAGGCAAATGCGTAACCCCCCCGTACCCCCTGCTGAGATCCCACCTGGGATTTCAGCCCCAGAGCTGGGGGTCATCTCCCACATCAAGAAATTAAGGGGAAAAAAGGCAGGGGAGTACAGCTTTGACAACTGACCTGAACTCTCCCTTTTAATATAAGCCAGGTTTAACATATGTCAGTCTGTAAATCCGGGAGTCCAATTTGAGGCTTGTAATTTGCCGTTCCTCCAAGTGAGGTGGAGCCGTGCCAAGCACATCAAGGTAACCAGTGGAAGATATAATTTGCCCACTGCGAGCCCGCGTTTCAGTTCCCTATTGTAATTTTTATTTGTGTTGAGGTTTTGTGGTTTTAAAAAAGTCAACTAGATTTATTTTAAAATTAAGGCAAACCAACATCAAAGGCAGCCGGAGGAGGATGTTTAGGTATTATAAAGAAACGCTGTGTAATCTTTTATGGCCGTATTCTCTTTCAGGGCACGTATCAGTAAATGGTTAGGGACCATTCACGGCCAACTTGCTATATTTTTCTGACCTCAAACTACCTGCCACAGGTGAAAATCCATTTCCAATGGGATTTAGAAGCCCCCTCTCTCCTCCTCAGCCACTTAATCTAATCCTGTTTGTAACATGACATGCTGCGTGAAGAGACAGAAACTCAGGCTGATGTCCCTTCCTACCACACGAGCTCCTGAGATAATATGAGTCCAGTTCCACCCGGAGTTCTCCTTCAGCTACGGGGAACCCTTTCAGGCCAACAAAATGGGGCCATTTGGTTCATGAGTCACTTGGTAAAGAGAAGAAAGTTTATGTTGGAAGCTTCTCTTAAAAGAATGGCAGATGATACCTGAAAAGTTTGTTTGCTTTTTAATGCTACAGGATTTTTTTCAACTCAGAGACATATATAACATGTATTTGTTTATTGGCTCATGTAGGAAACTCCTGTGCTTCCTTTGTTTTAGGCACTTTTAAGTAACAGAGGTAGATAGATAAATAGACAGACAGACAGGTAATAGATAGGTAGACAAAGTTGTTCCTCAAAAGAGTTTTCTAAGAGAGGTACTATTATCCCCATTTACAGATATGCAAATTGATCCATACCAGCTTCTCCCACTCTACAAGTGTATCTCTTTAAAAGGGAGTTGAAGTTACACTTCTGAGCATAAGTTGTACAGTGTCTACTGTGCTCAGTGTGACATTGGCTTTTGAGTTGTTGCACTTGTGCGGGTTGACCAGCATGCACGCAGGTCAGGAGGCTGACTTTTTGTTGCAAGAAGGCCAGTGGTGCCAAAACAGCACTGAGACTGGCCATTCGTGAAGGTGTGGCTCATATGAGAAGCAATCTTGGAGGTAGGAGGCGGCTCTCACTTCACTTTTCTTTCATTGTGTTTAAGGAAATAGACTTTGGAATTGAGTCCTGGTTCTTCCACCTGCTAACTTGGTTAATCTGAGGAAATTAACTTTGCTAAGCCTCAGTTTTCTCAGCAGTAAAATGGGAGTGGTAAACCTATTTCCCAGAAGAGTCGAGATAATTAAAACACTTAGCACAATACCTGACACATGGTAAATACTAAATGTTAATAATAAACTGTGTCTATACACTTAATAACATCTATGGGGAAGATTCAAGTTCATAAAAGTCTGATGGAGAAGTCGAACATAGACAAATAATTCTCAGTGTGAGAACTGTTGTAATATAGCTCTGTTCTCTGGCAGTATGAGGTGTCCACATCTACCGATTGACGGAGTTGGGTAATTCCAAGAGAAGTTGACATGTTTTGTCCCCTGTGGAAAGTGTGGTACAACCGGGATTTCGCAATAGATTATGTGTAGGCTTGCTCCGACCTGTCCTAGAACCCTAGGACTCACTCCCCCATGCATAACAAAAATTATGCCTTGCATCTATATTGATTTTTCTATAAAATAAACAGCGTTATTGGTAAGCACATATATTGCAGGATAGACTTGGTTATAATTCCAGTAAAGCCAATTAAATTAATGGTGTCTGTATACAAGGTTAGGAATGAGAAAAACTGGTAGAGGCTTGGTATACAGGAGGGAGCAAATGCAGGTTTACAGTTGTGAGTACACAAAACACAGAGTTTATTCTTGTATTATTATTAATTACTGTGTCATTTTCCATATGAACAACTGTAAACCTACTTTTGCCCACCCCATATAAATGCCCTAGTAAAATCAAGAGAAAAAAAACGCGTTGAAATTATGATTCATCATTCCACATATTTGTGACTATATTTAATAGCCCAATTAGCAATAAAATTTTACGAGTTAACATCTATATGAGAACATTCCCTTCTACATTACTGAGTTTTATCTGTAGATTTGTAACATTACCATGATCATCTTGATGTGTTTCTACACATTTTGTTCAGTGAACCCAAATGAACTTGCACTAATTAGGTTTTTAGCTGCCAGTCTTGCTTTTACAAGGTTGAATCCATATACCTCCAGAGGATATGTGCTGTTTGGGGTGGAGAGGACTTCAGATCTTCCTAAATTCACAGATAGGAGACACGTGGTAGAGGAAAATACTTGAGCAGAGTCTAAATTATCTTTCCTAAGTGATTATTTCATAATCTTTTACTTTAGACAGTTCTCTAAGAGGCTAAAAAGTATATAGTAAAACTCCTTTCTGGATATTTTCAGAACTCCCAGTTACAACTATGCACCAAATATGGATAAGCACTGGATTCTGCAGTACACGGGACCCATGCTGCCCATCCACATGGAATTTACAAACGTTCTGCATCGCAAAAGGCTTCAGACTTTGATGTCAGTGGATGATTCTGTGGAAAGGGTAAGCAAATGAACCCGCTTCAGTTAGAGATTTTCGGCCCACCTTCCCATTCTTGCCAACCCTGTTTTGTTGTTGTTGTTTGCTCTGTTTTGTTGAGAGATAAGTGAAAGAAAAAATGTATCCATCCTCCCTTATCTTGTGCTTCTGTTACCTCTCCAGGCTTGGTTCTTGTAGAGCCAGTAACAGAGAGAAGATAAATATCAAAACATGAAAATCAAGGGCTGCACTCACAAATACCTTCAGGAATTAAGCACATAATGTAAATAACTAAAGCAGGTCCAGTATAAGGCAAAAGGGAATGGTGAGAATTGAAACTAAGTGCTTTGTTTAAAGGAAGGAGCAATTCCTCAGCTACAACTAATATTTCCCATGTAGAAATGTGCACCCAGTATCATCAAGTTTTCTGACTTTTTAAAAAAAAACAACCATAAATGCAAATATTTTATTTGAAATTTCATGAACTTTAAAGCATAACATAAGCCAAGCAAGACCTGCCTAAAGGCTAGATCTAGCTGGATCAGGCTCAGAAGCAATCTGTTTTTAACCATTGATAACTAGCTGTAAGAGTGAAGATATTAAAATTTGCTTTAACAATGAATTTTTCAAAGTAAGCCTGTAAGTTTTCTGGTGGAGATTGTTTTGTGGGGTTTTGTTTTTTTTCAAATAGGTGAACAGAAACCTTTAAGTAGCATGTGCCAGATTCAAAAATGTTATTTTTCAACTGTATTATGGGATGTTATTCCTTCAGGATTGTAAGCAACAAGAAAATGTGGTTAACGTTTGCGTTTGTTGGTCTTATTAAAGCAACTCCTGCCTTTTAAAAGTAATGGAAAAAAGATTTGGGGGAAATCATTGCAACACTATTGTCATCGTGGGCCATGACAATTGCTTCTGACTCGTCCCTGTGCTGTGTTCCAGCTGTATAATATGCTGGTGGAAACGGGGGAGCTGCAGAACACTTACATCATTTACACCGCTGACCATGGCTACCATATTGGGCAGTTTGGACTGGTCAAGGGGAAATCCATGCCGTATGACTTTGATATTCGTGTGCCTTTCTTTATTCGTGGGCCAAGTGTAGAACCTGGATCAATGTACGTATTTCTCTGTTTGTAACATTCAGCTGTCGTAGCTCATGTACATCTGAGATAATTTGATTACCGATCTCAGTGTCTGGTTTCCTTTTATCCAAAACAACAAAGAGTGTATATAGGTTGGTAATTTAGAAGATGAAAACCTACACCTCCGCCCCTCGCCACATGCTAATTTAACTAAAGTATGCTATTTAAAGAGAAAGGAAAAATAACTGTATCAATGATTAATTCTTTCAAATCAATCAGATTTTAAGATACATAATATCATCCTTGCTTTCTTTGAATTAGAGATACACTGTCTTTTTAAAAAATGAGTGTCATCCTCTTAGTTTTTATTTTTTAATTACTAAAAACACTTTTTAAAAATTAATTATTTAAAGGCATGATTTTAAAAAAAGAGAAAACAAACCTGAAGGGCTGGAGCTTTATTCCCGTCACACTGGGCAAGCCACTGCATAACTTTGCACCTCTCTTTTCCCCTCATAAAAGGGGTTTCATGTGCCCTGCCAATCACAACAGAATGTTTTGTATAAAGTGAGGATGTGCGCATAAAATAATTATGGAAAGAGTGAAAGAAAACAATGCAAGTATAATTCAAAAGATGGAAGGGCCCCCACAGAGCACCTAGCCTGTACCCCTGATTTAATGATGAAGAAACTCAACCAACAGCTTTTCAGAGTCCCTGATCCTGCAAGCAGCAGCGGCAGGGCTCAGAACCCAGATACCTGGACTCCACCACCTCCAGGGGAGAAGCAATGGCAATAAGAAGGGTTTCTAGGAAGAACGTTATTATGTCTCTTCAGATCATTAGAAACACCTCAAGAATTGTCAAATCTGGAATTAGAAGGCTTTATGTTTGAAAGTCTAGGAGGCATGGACTGGATTCAAATGTAAAAACCTCATGTCTTTCCTTAGAAGTAGGTTTGAAAGCCCCAGTTTAACAGAGAAGTTATGGGCTGTTGGGTTTCAGAAGAAAGTATACACCGTACAAAACTCATAGATCAGGCCACGACTTGTGTGGCAGTGTGGGGCAGCTCAGGGCTCTGGGTGTCTCTCCAGTGACCCCTGTGAGAGTCAGTTCATCTTGCTCTGTACCACCCCTGCTCACCGCTCAGCACCCTGGTCAAATGCAGCTACTTTCCTAGGAGACCAGATGAGAAAGGAGAGACCCCGAGGCCAGTGAGTTGCAGTGTGGGGAAAGCAGCCCTAGGGGCGACCCTCCACTGGTCCTGGGCTGGGGGTGTAACCATCTGTCCCATTGCAGAGTCCCGCAGATCGTTCTAAACATCGACCTGGCCCCTACGATCCTGGACATTGCTGGGCTCGACCCACCTCCTGATGTGGACGGCAAGTCTGTCCTCAAACTGCTGGACCTGGACAAGCCGGGTAACAGGTGCGTCAATTTTCTTCCCTGCAGCCAGCCCCAAGCACACTGGCTCCCGGAACCAGCCAGAAGCTGAAGGAGGTGGAGGCCAAACAGCTTTGCCGTGCCGAGCTGAGCATTTCTTGGTTGTTTGTACATAGCACATTGATGGAGACACAGTCATGGTCTGTGGGAAGTGAGAGGGGTTCCTTTAAATAAACTGTTAGCACAGATCCGTTTGGAAAGACGTCAGATTCCAACTGTAAATATTATTATTTTGCTTGCAGGTTTCGAACAAACAGAAAGGCCAAAATTTGGCGTGATACATTCCTCGTGGAAAGAGGGTAATTATTACTTCCTGGGGTGCTTCTGGGAACCAGCCCTAGTGGGCAGCTCTCCCAGCTGGGTATTTTTTCCCCTTATTTTGGTTTACTAAGCCGACAGATTTCGCAAGCCTAGTGACAGAATTGAATGGTTTGCTAGTCATTCTTCACTGGCCAGCAGAATAAGGAATTCAGAATTCTCGTGAGGTGGGACCAAAGCCCTTACATGGCTATGGATTTTATTGCTGGTTTCTCAGCCTTGGTTCCAAATCGGACCAGTCAATTGACTCTCTTAACCATCCTTTCCAAGTCCTGCCTGGAACCTTTCTACTTCCTTTCCTGATGCCCTTTTCTTAGTTTTAAATACACAAACATATGAGGTTGTGATTATTTCCATGGCTGCTTCTGGATTTCCCCTTTTGACTTACAATGCTCGATGTCTTTGTTTTTCTCCTTACACACACAGAGAGGAAGCATTTCTGTAATTGCTTTCTAACAAAAAGAGTTTTGAGTCTATAAAGCTAAATGTAACATTCCAACGTTTTGAAATTAATGCTTTGAGGGGAAACGATTCCTCCTATCTTGACCTCTCATCTTCCTTCATAGTAGCCAGCTTTTCACAAGGGGCTCATCAAATGTTGAACTCCCGTGGCCAGAGCCTTAACATCTATTTCTTGCTGTTTGAAGAATGAGGAGTCATGTGACAGGGAAGAGAAAGAGGACAGGCAGGTCCTAGGGGAGATAATTCAGATCACTTCTCATATAAGAAGCTTTTCCCGTTCTGTCAAAGGAAATTTCTACGTAAGAAAGAAGAATCCAACAAGAGTATCCAACAGTCAAATCACTTGCCCAAATACGAGAGGGTCAAAGAACTGTGCCAGCAGGCCAGGTACCAGACAGCCTGTGAACAACCTGGGCAGGTGAGTGACACAGTGTTTCTTCACCACCACCATGCACATGCTTCTCCATTTCTAATTGAAAAGATTTTCGACTCTGGCTGGGGTAGTTCAGTTGGTTGGAGCATTGTCCCATGACCAAAAGGCTGTGGGTTTGACTCTCAGTCAGGGCACAATCTTGACCACCAGTTCAAGATTGATCAGACACATGACATTAATAGCACGGTTATTATTAAAATGGCCTCATTCATTGTACTCTTTTTTTATATGGTATCCAGCTTATTGAAGAGACATTCATAATAGGTTGTGAGTTCAATCCCCAGTCTGGGCGCAGATCACCCCAGGGCCAGGCATATACAGGAGGCAACCAATTGATGTTTCTCTCTCGCACCAATGTTTCTCTCTTCTCTCTCCCTTCCTCTTTGTCTAAAAAAGCAATGAAAAAAAATGCCCTTGGTTAAGGATTTAAAAATACATAAATAAATAAAAGATTTTTAACGTATAATGTGCACTCACGTGTAAATGATGGAGTCCTCAAGCGCTCACAGTGACAGCCCCGCCCTGACTGAGAATTGTGTAGCTGATCCAATCTGGGCCTCCCATCACTGCTTGGGCTCCCTCCTGTTAAAGGAGACAGTGCTCTCAGAAAGTGTTCCAGATACACCCAGTCAGCCAACACCAGTTCAAGATGCCAGACACATGAAACGGTGGCTGGATTAGGAAGATGAGAGAATCGTTCTGAGAGGAGAAGGCACCCTCCCTGCAGCTTTTCTTAACTGGTCATCAAGAGAGGGTTGGAAGGCTGTTTAGTCAAGTTCATGGGTAGATGCTGAGTCCCAAGAGACATGACGGGATCTTCTTACCCTGGTCTAAAGTCAGACGTCATCTAACTCAGAGGAGGACAGACTCTATGACCAAGGTTGGGGAATGTCAAGGGAAACCATACTCTGATTGTTTATTGGTTCTACCTCTTCTCACAAAATTTCTGACGTCAAATATTTCATGAGAATGAATCTTACTCATTAATGAAAATATCAGTATAGAATTCAGGGCTACCCAAAACACCAATTATTATCAATAAAAACTAAAGGAAAACCAGGTGATGAATTAACACAGACCTACTTTTAAGGAAAGTGAGAGCATATGAACACAAAGTATTATAAGAACTCTTGATTGAAATCTCAATTCACTCAAAGAAATGCTGTGTCATGATGAGAGGAACTGAATTTCTGCCTAAGTCATTGCAGCTTAGACCAAAATCAGAGGAAAGAGAAGCGTAACGAACATTTTTCAAGCATTTGTCTATGTGAGGCACTGTACACAGCATTTTATATGCATTAACTCAATTTGAGCCTTACATCTGCTGAGTGAGGGAGGCATTGTCATCACCATTTTACCAATGGGCAGCTGGCAAGTGGCAGAGGCAGAATCCAAACAAGTTGTCTGCTTCAAACCTCAGGCCACTTGCTGCCTTCCCAGGTAAGTTACATGCACTTGGTAAATCTTTTGCACCAGTTCAAGATTGATCAGACACATAATATTAATAGCCCAGTTATTATTAAAATGGCCTCATTCATTGTACTCTTTTTTTATATGGTATCCAGCTTATTGAAGAGACATTCAAAATAAACAACTTGATCCGCCTGCTCTCTGTATTTCCTCATGCCTTTTGTACACAGGGATTCCTTTGAAATAGAAAAGGGGGGGGGGAGGTTGTTGAATGAAGGGATAACACCAGGCCTTCATGGCATCCTAGTGAGTCTTAATTTTCAAGTGTTTAGAGGAGAAACTTAGACCTATTCATTATATTTTAATTTGAAGTCTTCAAATCCTTCTTATGGAAGCTCTAAGTATTATTATGACTAAGACCTCCGAATTGTTTTGTAGCTCTAGAATGGTTTCTACACACCAGGCTCAATAGGCTCACTTACTTGTATTCAGTAGCTAGAAATGTTTAGTGTTAAATATGTCTCATGCAAATGGATGATCTTGTTACTGTTTTAGCCCTGTATGTGGCAAGCATTATCACCATTTGAGAATATGGCACACTGCCTACCTTTCAGTGTTCAATTTTGCAAACCTCTCCATAGGGCTTGTGCTGAAATTTGAGTGTATGATCTAAAGGGCAAATGGAGCATAAACTCGATTATGGTACTTAGGCCCAAGCTCTCTGTGTGTGCTAAATGCATGTGCTATGTTGAAAACTTCACTTTGCTCCTTCATATTTTTCAAAACTTGGCTTGCCCCCATGAAATGCTTCACTAGCTGGCTCCCTGGAATTTTCCTCTGCTGCTTTATTTCTGTGTTAAGCAGTTTGAATTTAGGTTCTAGCGCATGGACATATGAGGACTTAGCAGTGATCTCTTGCAGAAGAGCCTGCAGTCATGGAACAAGGAATCTTTAAGAGTCTGAGAACTTCAAGAAAGCATTGAGCCTCCTTAAGGTGATCACTGAATCTGTAGGTCAAACCTGGCGTAGTTCAGTTGTGATCTATGGAATCTTTATATTTTGGCCTTTTTTGCCCTGTCGGGTTACTTTGAAGATTATCTTTTTAGTTACAATATCATTGAGTTTTTAAGAAGGAAGAGAAAAGTCCAGAATAATGAGATGGTATTGTTCAGGATCAAGGTGACAGATGAGGATAGAACTAACTTGTTTGGAATCTCTTGCCATTGATTTCACACCTGGGCTGTGCCCTGTCCCTTTCTTAAACCAAGGGTAACTGCCTTCATTCAAAGGCAACACAATCTGCTCTTTGGTTTGACCCTCCATGGGGTGCAGAGGAAAAATAAGCATGGTTAGCCCCGTTCTATTCACTCCTCATCCTCAAAGAGATGGTGTATGACCCCCTCCCATCACACCTCAGTGCCTGGTCTCCTAAGGATTGTGTGGTGGGATCAATGTGGATGCAGCAAGTAAAGCAAACTTTTAAAAGACAAACTGAAATCACAAAGTTGGGTTAGAAGATTGGCATCCCCTGCTTTTTAGTGGTGTGTTCTTGGGCCAGAGAGTTCATTTCTCCTGCATTTTAGGTTTTCTATCTCTAAAATGAGGAAACTTAATCAGTCTCAGGAGGATAAAGTGATACCATGTGTGTCCAGGGCTGGATGAACTGGGAAGCAGTCTGCGAATGTGGGGTGGTGGTGTTGGGCCAGGCCATCTCACCTGTGATGTTCATTCCTAGAAAGCCGGCAAGCAGTGGACTGGGCTGGAATCCCAGACATTTGGCATCCCTTCCCCACAGTTTGAGCAGAACAACCAGCAGGATCTAAATAAGACAGTGTGGACATAGGTGTGTGTATTACTTCCATGTTCCTGAATTAATACAAGGCTGAGTGTAAATGCCCACCCCGCTCAGTTGGAATTACACCCCTAGCACATTTAGGTACAGACACACTACACACACATTCACACACTGATGTGCAAATCTCAACTTCTGGCTAAGGAGACTTTGGTTCAACAGAGAACATGACCAGTGATGCTCAATTCTGGTTGCACATCAGAATCACCTGGGGAGCTTTTGAAACTATTGATGTACAGCCTCGCCCAGACCTACCGGATTACCGTGTCTGGAGGTGAGGCCACGGCATCAGTATTTTTCAATAAGGTTAAGAACCTCAGGCCTTGAATGAGAGAATGCCGGAGGTAGCAGGGATCTTAGAAATTTTCTAGTTGAATGATACCATTTTCCTAATAAGGAAATTTAGAGCCAGAAGACTTAAGCTAAATACAAACCCGAAGTCAGAACCTATACCTCTTCATGTCATGTTCTTTCTTTTCTTCCCCAGAACATGCAGAAAGATAAGACAGTAGATGAGTTCCCTTTGATATTATAAATGGCATTTGCCTGGCTGAAGCCATGGGTTTAGGACCCACTCACAGCATCTAAGCCAATGGTTCTCACCTGTGGCTGCCTGTTAGCCTCACAAGGTGCCTTTGGAAATGGAGCCGTTCGGGGCCTCCTCCAGACAAATTAAATCAGATCCTGGGGACCCAGGCATCAGTGGTGGTGGTTTTTGTTTTGGATCTTGTTTTTCAAGTTCCTGAGTGATTCCTATGAGGAGCCAAGATTGAGAATCATTTATGTAGGTGAATATCATTTTTCCTTTTTCACCTAGGTACAGATATTGACTCCTTAAATAGGAGTTACATAAAAAAGAAATTCCCTGTGCATGCAATTCTGAAGTACATTTTACATATGTTCTGTCATTTAAGAGGAAAAAATGTTTCATTTATATACATCAAATGCCATTTCCTTTTGTGGAATCGTTGAGTTCCAGCATCTTTGCAATGTAGTTTGCTTTTCTACGTTTGTATCAATATAAAATCAGATTTGTAAAATTCTAAAAGGATCCCAGCTTCAAGCAGAGGAAATGAGAATGTAACCTGTTGAGTGTAACTGGTTTAGCTCCAGGATTTATGTTCTCATCCCAAAATTATCCCTCAGACCTTTTGTGACCAGGTGCAGAGCAGAAATAAAAGACATTTACCAGCAAGATCTGGCTAGAATTGTTGGTTTGCCAGAAATTGACGGCCTGTTTCCAGAAACTCACTGAGCCCTGGTTAAAGTCACAGCGTGGCTCGGAGACATTTCCCCAGGTTCTCCTGACTCCAGAGGGCACGGCCAGAAGGGCTGAGCCCCAGTGCTGTCCTCTGGCTGGACTTTCACCTGCACGAGGCCCTGGTGTGGACAGCTCAGCCTCTAAACCTTGCCTCCTCCCCTCCTCAACCTGCGCGGAGCAGCTGTGTATCTACTTCGATGCCTTGGCTTCTGTGCATTTTTCAAAATACAAACTGCAGGGTTAAATGTCAAACCATATCTAATGATGCTCGCAACAAGTCAGAGACATAAACATAAGGACATGCAGTACTACTAAACTACATGCCACGGCCCTGCCCTGTTTAATTTATGCCACAACTCCCTAACACAGCCCGCTCAGGTCAGGTTTCCCTCCTCCCTGCCCCTTAAATGTAACTTTCTCTCCTGCATGTTAGCAGTTGCTTCTGCCTTCCCCAAGGCTGTC